TGGTTTGCTCCGGGCAGCTTTGGAAGTCGTCCGAGGCAATTTCTCGTCTGAACGCAGTCTTGAAGCATCCATGACTCTTTACTGCCTATCAGCGTCGCAACCTGCAAGGGCATGTTTGCAACCACAGTGATGATGGCCTCCGCCATGCCAGCCTTCGCGAATGGCGCTTCCATACAGTTGTGGTCCCATAAGCCTTCGTTGCTAGCTTTGTTCGCAATTCGTGTCGCAGAGCCTCAGATGAGGAAAAACAAATTGCACAACGCTCTTGAACAGTTTTTTGCGTCTTGGCATGTCCAATTCCCGAAGGTTTGGGGATAACATTGCTGGTGAGTGCCTGTCCTCTGTAAGTTGGCTTGGTTTTGCCCGCGGCCCAGATATCAAGGAAGCAACAGACCTATGCGTGAAGGATTCGGCGGACCAGCACGGCAAGACTTTGACAGCGAATGCGGAGGGGGAAACCAATGTACAGGCTGTAGTCAAACCCATAAGTGTTCAGAGCGTGACCATGTTTGAGTTTTTTCTTCCGCTGCAGCGCGAAGTGTCCTCAAATTGAATATGGGGGGAAAGAAGGACAAAGACTCCATCCGGCTTTGGTTTGGCCAAGCGTGGAAGCAAGATGAGGCCTGTGAAATGTTAGAAACCTTGAGCATCCTTGAGCATTTTGGGGTGTCCTGGGGGCCGGGGTCGTTGTGCAGCAGTCAACCCGTATGCGTTCACTTTGAACACGTTGATCTAGCGTGGAAAGCCAAAGAGGGCGACAAGAACTTCTGCCACCTGTGACGGAAACCGTTCCCAGCACATCAGTCTCAGCCTGCATCTTGGCCAACGCCCACCCTTCCAAGATCATAGCCATCGGACGGGGCCTCCAAGGGCAGCACACGGCGGCGACCAAAGAAAGGTTCTTGCCCTGTGTTGATGACAGTGTTGCTCGGCATGACGCCCTTCTCCAGAAAATTTGTTGGACGCAGACCCTGACTTGCCGAAGTGGACTTGGTTCCCGCCCACACCTCTCCGAGCAACTATTTTTGGATGGACTGACACTGTGGGGAACCGGGGTTATTTCAACGACACGGTCGGCAGCGCTGATGAGGAAATTGGTGATGTTGCCTGATGGGATTTTTTCTCGCGTTCGTTTTCTGGCCGGAGCTGGAAGCCCGGTGATATGTTCGCTAATTGTCCCAGATGTGTTTTTTAAACTTCCCACACTCTTTCCCATTCCTTTGATTTGAGGAGTCTTCATTCACATCCTTGCAAACAGAATTCCGCATTTCTGGTCGCTGGAGCATGCAAGACCCAACCGAGCACATACAAACAGGAACTAAGCGGGTGACGGTGTTTTTCCGCTCCCGGCCCCATTCCGTGTTGGCGATGGAGGACCACGCTCGCAAAATGCTCTGGGCGCTTTGGATGCAAAAAAATAATGGTTTTCATTTTTAGTATTTTGACACTTCTCCGCATTCTCCTCAGGGCTTGACCCTGCAAACTTCAAACACGTGCGTTGAATTCAGTTAACTTCGCATTCGTGCTTCTCTCTAACTGCAAACACTGGCAAGTCAGTCCAAAACCCGGGTCAATTTGGAGAGCCAGCCGCCACTCAACTCCCTCCACTGCTTCGCCCTGAAACTTCCCAGGTTTTGGCGCCGCCATCCCCAACAGCTCCCGTTCAGCAGGACCATAAGCCAGTGCTCGTATACCTGGTGAGTCAAAGGATGGGCCTGCAAATGAGGACATGGAACCTGAAGCAGCACCGTCGGCTTTTAGTCAGCTCCAGTCTCACTTTTTCAAGCGAGTGCTCGGCAAAGACAATGCCATGATTTTCAATTATGCAACTTTCCAAGAACGGCTTTTGGTGCACAAAGTTCTTTTGAGTGGCTAAGGCAAGCTCAAACTCGCTCGCGTTGTCGACCTGTACAACCACGTTGACATCAATGATTCTGGGAAGCGCCGCAAAATCAGACCGTTGCAGGGGCAGGCCAGAAACGGTAGCCGCAAGGTTGTCTAAACCTAAGCCGCTTGTGACAAGTCACGTGCAAATTCTAGCTACTTGTACGTTAAACAGTTGCCGTCTTAGTAAAAGATACCCACTCTGCCTGGCGACCCAACCTTGTTTCCCTTCGTAGGCGCAGGAATTTTTTCATGGCAGCTTTTGAGCAACGTCTTCGTGTTGGATACGTGGATGAGCACAAAGCTTTGGCAGGTAGCAAGAAAGAGGCCACAGTGATCTTGCAAGGCTGGTCCGCAAACAAATCCAACCGGATCCGTTTTCACAACCATGCCATGCTGTGCTGCAGGGCATCCATCCGAGAAATTTCGAAAAGGCGAACTCTTTGGCATGACCGCGAAACAGATGCAGTGGTTCCTGAAACTTCGGCCGCAGCTCCATTGGTAAAGGCCGGCCTTGCCGTACAGCCTGCTCGGACTCCAGCGCCTGCTACCCCACCAACTGGATGAAGCTCTGAGCGACGAGCGAGACGAGGGATTTTTCTTTCCTTTTGTCCAGCTCCGGCGCGCCCTTGCTTTCCTAAATTCAACCTTAACAGAACCCAGTATGTGAATTTTATGTCGTCACAGCTGAGCCACGTTTTAAACCCTTGTGTTCATGTTAAGCAAGGGCCCCTTGTAAGGCTGTGGCGCAAGCAAAACTTGTGCGCGCGTAAGCAAAACGGAAGCAATTGCGTAAGCATTTCCTTATTTGGTGCCAGGATGTAAGACATTTGGAAACATGGTTCAGCTTGCTTTTTGGTTACAAGTTGTCAACCAGGTTCTTCTTTGCTACCTGGCATGTGCGCATGTTGGGGCATGTTGGGGCGCGCTTGTGCAGATCTGTGTTCTGGCACACTAGTCTTAAAAGAACCCGGGCGGTTTCCATGCGACTTGCCTCCTTCCCGTGGTACCTGGGAATCTTCTTGGCACCCGTGGCTTGGCTTTTGATTTCTTGTTTCAAGAGAATGATCATGCGTGTGCCATCGTCACCCCATGGAGTATGGCAGGGCAGAAACATGCAGAAACATGCAGAAACCACTATTGTGGTTGTCTTCGAACCGCACTCATAGTCCTCATTGTGGCGCAGCCTTGCGTGAACCCATCTTCAAGGAAGGTAAGGAGCAGAGCGCAGAGCCAAAGACGTTGCAAACCTGTCATGTCTCTTGTTGGTGCCAAGGCGTCCGATATTGCCGCGGCTTTCTGGAGAAGCCTTTCGAGACTCGCGGGCGTAGGATCCGTATCTGAATGAATCAAGACCCTTGATCAACCCCACGCGGAGTACTGCCTTTTGAACAAGAGTTGGGGAGTCGCGCGCGCGTAACTGAGACGCTGGCGCTACCGAATGTTCCTCCACAGAGCCACATTCCTTGGCGAAGGAGTTCTTCTCCGCTTGCTTGATCCATGTGCCCAGGTCAAAGTCCGTCAGAGCTTGTTTGCTGTTTGGGCGCGAGAAATTTTGTTGCGGAGGGCACGCGAAATTGGTGGAACTGTGCAGGAAGAATTGGCCAAAAAGATACCTGCCTTGCCGCTGGAGAAGCTTGTTGGGAGCTGTTGGAGCTGGTACGAGCCGCATATGTTTGGGAGGCGGGGTGGGCAAGCGGGATGAACAATTATATACAATTATATTTATATTCATAGTTATCAGAATGGGCAATGCCTCATGCCTGATAAGCAGCTCTTCATAACTTCAACTTCCATTTGTTTGGCCCAATATGATGGCTGTTTCTTTCACATTGGCGTTACAAACTTGTGCCTCTGGAGGCGCCTTCAGCAGTTTCCAGCTTCGGGAGATAGAATGGATATCCTGGCAGTGGATGGCAATTGCAAACTTCACCACCGAACATGTAGTCTCCCGTTTGCAAAGCTCCTCCCGTCCCCGCACGTCAACACCAGCGCTGCGCCATGTAGCCACCGGCCACCGGCCAGCGGACCCACCAGCGGCCATGACTAAATTAGTCAATCCCCGCGGAATGCTGTGCAGAAAAACAAAACCGGAATGGGAAGGCAAATCAGGAAGCAGGATTTGTTTTTTTTTTAACTTATTTTTTTGCGGTCGTTCTGCGTTGTTTTTTTTCTTTTTGCCCGTTTCTTTACAGAAATGTACACAATTAAAACAGTTGAAAACGTCAGAGACGGACATAAGATATCAAAAAAATGCATTTGCATCGTTTCGTGCTGCATTAAATCATTCCTGACGTTGCCTGCTGAGCCCACGAGGCAACGGCTGTGTAAACCATGTTTCTGATGTTTGATGATGCTTGGGGCCTCTTGCGTTTCCACTTCCTGGATGAAACTGTTTGCTGGTGACATGTCCTTCACCTGATCAAACATCACCAGTCGTTATTTTGCTAATTATGCATATTTTTTTCTCCCGGTTGGTTCTAGCAAAAAAGTGGCCGACTTGACAAACACATTTGAAAAACAACGTCCATGACCAAAAGGACACAAAAATAATGATCGTTGAAGGTCCAGGCTGGTCTATTTATGTCTATTTGAGGTTTTCGTCCCGGTGAAACCTTTTGTACTGCGGCGACCTGCTTTGGGAGGGCACAATTGATGTGGACACATGCTTGGTTTGATGGATTCTGGTAGTCTAGAATAGTCTATACATGAAAAATTAAATCAAACAAGTGTGAGCCCAGATGCATGTCTTTTATTTCTTTGGAAAGCATTCATCCCCCACTCCCACTACACAAAGGCGTTTTGCTAAGTTTGGCTTGCGTTTGCCAAACTGGTCACGGTCAGAGATGTCTGTTCCGTGTGGTGTGTGTATGTGTGTGTGTATGTGGGTATATATGAGAACCTCTCCTTCATATGTGAGCGACGGCTTTTATTTGGTTAAATGGAAAACAGTATTGTGGCGTACCCCAGCCTGATGAAAAAATCATCATTAGGCCGTACAACGAGGCATTGGAGAACGAGGTCAGTCCCCAAAAGAAGTGACGGGACTGGAGAACGAGGTATAGGAACACCCCGTCAATTGCGTTTTAAACATGTTTGAACCAAATAATTTCCGCAGCTCATGTCTGGTTCCAAGGGTTGAGGGGTTGCCGACCAAAAGAGAGAGGGGAATCATGTCGTTTTCACCACAGTCGTCGCGCCGATACTGGGCAGCATGGTGACATTGACTCTCCATGTTCGGGCATGTTCAGGTGCAATTTGTTTGGAGCGTTTATAGGATTGAGGATGAAGAACTTGGCTGCTGTGATGTGCAAGATTAAAAATGAAGGGGCGACTTTTCCTGAGGTTTCTAATTCGAACATGGTCCTAGGATGTTTTTTTTTTTGGTTTTTGTATATTCGTTGTCACGAACAGAGTGCTTTCGTTATCCGGGACCCATGATGACTCTACAATGACAGGTTGGTGAATGTGGCATGTAAATCAGTTTGAGGAACGGAAAACCGAGATGGTCGTGCAGCTTCGGACTCATGTTCAGAAAAATCTTTTGGTGACTTGGTATGATTACTTGATTTGCATGCAGCATCATCCATGTATGTGTTGCATGTCATCGTCTCAGTATTTCCCAGCACCCACACATTGGTTTTACTATTATTCTGAAACGCCAATAATCCCGCAGTGTGGTGACATGGATGTCGATTGAAAATGGGCTGAAATGGACCCGCCCCTTGTGACCATTCTGGAAGAAACACACCAAAGACATTGCACTGGTATTGTTCAAGAGGGTACTTCAGTTGCGTTCGCGAAACCTTTTCATTTACCCAGACTCAGCCAACTGCATTCAACACCGCCAAAATTTAAACATGCCAAACAATCAAATGCATTTAAACTCAAAAAAACAGGAAATCAAAATCATATAGAAACATCAAAAACGATCTGGGATCTAGAGGGCGTGCCCTCCAGGTAGACGGCGATGACTCAGGTTGACGGCATGCATTGTTGAAATATGTTGAAATGTATCACCTTAGTGACTAAATGGGTTGGTCCCGTAATGTCCCGTAGGTTTTTCTCGCGGTTCTTGATGTTTCCAGTATGTATTTGTGTCATTTTGTGTCCCTCATGTTGTTCATTGCGATTCCATACGTTCCACCTTGAGCGGAATACAATTGTGACTGCATCGCGTTGGCATTTCTGGTTGAAAGGCACAATGGCATCGCCCGAGACGATCCAATTCAAGACAAGTACTACGGCGACGGATCGTCGTTTCAAGATCGCGGGCATGAATGCTCGCATGGTGGAGGCAAAGACGAAGGTTCGGTTGCCTCAGCGACATGAAGACATCGGCAAAAAGTAAAAGCATTTTCATCAGACTGGGATGCATATAGCCAAAGTCGCAAAGGCGATGGAGAGAGAAAGAGAGAGAGAGGGAGAGACACAGAGAGAGAGAGAGAGAGAAAGAGAGAGAGAGAGAGAGCGAGAGCGAGAGCGAGAGAGCCAAAATCGCCAACCCCTGAATTGCAGGTCTTGCAAAAAATGAAGCAGCGCCGCTTGGCATCGTTTTCCCCTTCTAGAAGTGAGGGGTTTAAATTTACAAGGTTGGACGCCCGTTTCTTGCTCTGGACAGTGTGGATGCATGTGTTCCAAGAGATGGGGCTACAACTTTTTGGCAGGCGGTAGGCAAAGGTTTCCGTACTGGAGACGTACGGTTCGTTTTCCATGTGTTGGCATGTGGTTGATGTGGCGGAGGGCATGACCAACATATTTCTATATTTTCCGAGCGTCCACACCCAAGCACAGCTGTGCTACAGCTACCCTCCAGCAACCAAACATACTTCCGCATACTGAAATTGAAGCTACCTTTTTAGTTCCATGATTTTCCCATGAAAACATCCATTTTGTTCGGGGACCTCCCCTTAAATCCCATATAGCTCCCATTTTCGCAGCACTTTCCCACCACTCCACCAGCTTAAGGGCAAGACAGTCAAGGAGGCGAATCAGATGATGCGAACCGCCTTACACCCGAGGTGCCCTTATCAGGACAGCCGGAAAGCAGTCGCATTTTCTGGATCCGTTGGTGGAACTAGGAAATATCAATGTGAAAAGCATCGATTAGCCATGTACAATAAATTGTGTACGGTACACATTTGTTTTGGTTTTGAATGGTTTTGAATTCGCTTCTTTGCATTTGATTGCCGCTCTCCCGTTTTGCTGGTTTCGTTGAATGATAGTGACGCAATGGTTTCCTACATCACACTCTGCAATTGATTTGTTTGAGCGCGTGCTGCGCACAAAACCGATGTAGTGTGCATTGCGCATTCTCTGTTGCTAGCGACGGATTACTTGCGCAGCACTTTTTAGAATAATTATTTTACAGCATTTCACAGCCTATTGTGCTGCTTGTTTGGGTCCCCTCGGAACACGGTCAGTAATGCACCGTCACTTCTCTCCACCCAGGACGTTCTGCAGCATCTTCCATGGCGATGTCAACGTTGCCAGCCTCGCAGAGAGGTCCTAGTACCGCTACGATAACCCTTGAGGATGTGCATTCCAAGGTGCAGAGCAGGCAGTTGGAGGACAGGCTTTCAGGTGGATGAACTGATGAACCATCCATGTAGTGATATAATGACACATTCTGATTCTGATACATGTATATATACGTGATATGTATATATAATTATATATATGTGTGTGTACATTATCCAGATAAATATTGCATGTAAATATGTATGATATGTTTATGTTTTGTTCATGCTACTTATAAACACTCGATTTCTTGAGTCAAGCATTCGAAGTCAGTTGGCCAAGTATTGGGACCTTCCACTGCCACAATGATTGCTCCTCTGGAGGAGATGATGGAGGAGATGATGACCTTGAGCAATCAACTTGGTGTCTCGACCTGGCGTTCAAATGAACTTGTCACTAACCACCTATAGGTGCTCTATAGGTGACCAGTGACGTCCAGTTTCATACTTTGATGATCCTCCTGTGCTTCTCTAAGCGAGTATCCCTTTCCTGCCGCAACATTCATAAGGTATATGTTTGATGGGATTATATAGACAAAAAATGTTTACAATAACTGGGGTTTATAGGGGATATGTCATGATATATCTATAGTCTATAGTTAATGGGGTTTGCAGTATAAACCAACTTCCAACGGGGGGTTGATGATTGTTCCTGTATCCTTACTGCTTGAAATTCAGTGAGTAGATGATGTGGATGTGGCCGGAGTATGCCAGATACACAAAGCTAGGAAGAGAAGGTATCTGCCGATGGGCGAGAGTGAAACTTTAGGATGGCCGGCATCGATGCCAGCAGTTGGCGGCTTTGACCCCATACTACGTGCATAAAAAAATCAAAACATTGCAGTGCTTGTGGTCCAATCCCATCCAATTTCTCAACCTCGAGTCAGCAAGGCTCCCTTGCCCTTAGTTTGATACAGTTGTCATCAGTTGTCATCAGCCCCAGAGAAATCCATGGAAATCCCAGCTCCAAACGAGTCAACGTCGGACGCTGGGAGGCGACCAAAAGAAGCAGATCGATCTGCTAAGCTCCACAACTGCCAGCATCGCATCTCAGAAGAGCTTGGAAGACTTCATGGCACGCATGGAGGAGCAGCACAAAGAACATGTGGAAGAGATCCTTGGCGGAGATTCGGTCAGAAAAAGTCCCAAACCTGAATGTGCAAGCTGGCCACCTTGGAAAAACTCGGCCAAATGATGCCTGAATGATCCTGAATGTATATGTTTTGTAATTATATACATGTTTTTGGTGCCGGGCATCTGAGGAGGCCCCCGCTGTTGTCAGTTTTTGACATTACACTAAAAACAACATCATAGACGAGGGGGGTGGGTGGGGTGGGGTGGGGTGGGGTGGGGTGGGATAATAGCGTCAACGTTCTCATGCACTTGTGTACGTTCTCATGCTTGCACACATACGTCATGCTACGCTGCTCTGCACTTGCACACATACGTCATGCTACGCTGCTGTACGTTCTCATGCACTTGCACACATACGTCATGCTACGCTGCTGTACGTTCTCATGCACTTGCACACATACGTCATGCTACGCTGCTGTACGTTCTCATGCACTTGCACACATACGTCATGCTACGCTGCTGTACGTTCTCATGCACTTGCACACATACGTCATGCTACGCTGCTGTACGTTCTCATGCACTTGCACACATACGTCATGCTACGCTGCTGTACGTTCTCATGCACTTGCACACATACGTCATGCTACGCTGCTGTACGTTCTCATGCACTTGCACACATACGTCATGCTACGCTGCTGTACGTTCTCATGCACTTGCACACATACATCATGCTACGCTGCTGTACGTTCTCATGCACTTGCACACTTACGTCATGCTACGCCGCTGTACGTTTTCATGCACTTGCGCACATACATCATGCTACGCCGCTGTACGTTGTCATGCGCTTGCACACATACGTCATGCTACGCTGCTGTACGTTCTCATGCACTTGCACACATACGTCATGCTACGCTGCTGCACGTTCTCATGCACTTGCACACATACGTCATGCTACGCTGCTGTACGTTTTCATGCACTTGCACACATACGTCATGCTACGCCGCTGTACGTTCTCATGCAGTTCCAGATCGTAGGGCGGGTGTTAGGTGGATGGCTATGGATATGTAAATGATGATGATGGTGGTGATGATGATGATGATGAAATTGCTCCTGGTGCTAAACTTTCGTTTTTCAGCGTTTTGTGGTCCCCCCTGTAAAATGTTTGAAAAGTGACAACAGCGGGGGCCCCCTCAGATGCCCGGCACCTGTTTTTGTTATTGCTTCATGACTTCATGTTCCATTGAATCTGCCATTTGAAGATACTGATGTCCCCGAGGCATCAGCATTTTGCCTCCAGCCTGCGTGTTCTCACGCCTCTTCTAATGAGTGTGTGAATGAGTAATTATCACAATTAATAAATCATCCCGAGATATCCCGAGTGCCACAAGCCACAGCTTAAAATAAAATATGCAAAAAAGTCGACAAGATGGCATCCATGGCCCAGGATGCTCCATCTTCAAAAATCCTTCCCGACTGAGAGTGAGTGTCAAGGGCTTCGTATCGAGCTAAATGCTTCGAAGAGCAGGCAGCAGTCTTTGGAAGAGCAGCAGGCCGCTAGATCACTGGGGTTGGATACAAACTCCATCGTTTTAGCCCTTTGAAGGCCGCAATAGCAGAAATGAACGAAGTGAAACGAAGTGAACGAAGTGAATGAAGTGAACAAAATAAATGAATGTAGTTATAACTTCAATTTCACACTGGAAATCAGGTACGCATCATCCAGATATCCGGGCACTGCCAATTTTTCATGAGGGTGAGAGGCTGCTGTTGAGGTACTGCTGGAAAGATCTTGGGCCGAGGAGAAAGCTGCTTTGGAGAAGGACCCTTGGCTTAAAGGGTTGGTTTGTCTTCCGGATACCTGGTCCAATGCTCAGTTCGTCTCATTTCCACCTGCAGTGGTGGGTGTGTGTTTAGTTTTATTCAATCATCGCCCGGTGTTTTTTGCGGCCAGTAGATGTCCAACCTCTAAAGCCATGCCTTCTGCATTCAGGAACTGGCACGGCTCCGTTCACGAGAAACGACTTTGATGCAACAGTTGAAGCAGGCAATTGCTGAGAGCCCCCCGCCGAAGATTGAAGAGAGTGCCCAGCCCAGCAATGAGGGGCAGGGCATCACGGGGCATGACAGAGCAGGCATGGCAGGGCGCCAAGCTGTGAATTGAATTTGCATGACTTGACGCACAATGAACATCAATGAACTGTGTTTCATATCATCATGGTGGTTTGGTAGCCCCCACTCTCTCATCTCGGCATTTTTCATCCCAGATTAGTAGGGGATAGTAGGTGAACATCAATGCCTAAGGGCTATCCCGCAGATGTTGAGTCAAGGTTTGCCACCTACGCCGCCGCGAAAGCCCCGGATTCTTTTGGGCATAGCGGCTCTTGCGGGGCTCTTCCTGGCAGGCAATGGCAGGGGCCACATGAGACGTCTCCCTGAGGAAGAAATGGGATGAAATGGCACGGGCTGAAATGGCAGTTCAACACTCGGAAATGATCAAGCATGTGCATGGAGCTGGGACATGCTGTAACCCGCAAAGCACTTGCTGGGTGGTGCCGAGTGTTCAACAAACACGGGGCGCAAGACGAACAAAAACGTGCAGACATGTGCAGACCGTAAAGATTGGAGACAAGACTGCTGCAAACAACAAGACTTAGGGTATCTTAGGGTATTAGCATGTATTAGGAATCCAACTGAGAATATCAGATATCACTTTGTTGACGGTCCAGGTACAATGATCCCAACTAACTAACATACATGGGAAGAGTTGAATCCATCATTCTTGAAAAAGAGTTGTTCTGAACTTCACTCCGGCAGATTTAGGCAGTTTTTGCCGATCTGCCAGCGTTGGCTGTGCAACTTTGCTAGTGTATGGTATGGCCGGTTGTGAAAGCACGCATGCCCTCTGACATCCTCTGACAATCTAAGCTGGCAGTGGAAAACCGCCTAATTTATAGATGACTTCCACGCATTTGAAATGAGATTTCCCGCTGCCGGGTTAGTTTGCCATTGCAATCTGGGGGATGTGTTGCTGTGAGATGGTGCCTAGTGTTGTCATGAGCCTTGAAGCGTTTGGCTTCGGCAAACCACCCTCATGGTTATGCTTTAAACAACCATGCGTATAGCCCATATATGACTCTGTGTCATAATGTATAGTATACGCTATACATGCCACCCAAACATGTTTTTTTCGTCATATGCGCTTATGTCTTTAGTCACTTAGCTATTCACTATATTTGTGTACATGTTCATGCATATGAATGTATGTCCACATGGGGCAAATAGCTAAACACGCACACACACACACACGCAAAAGATGGTTTCGTGTGACACATGGGGCTACATGTGTACATTGTCATAGATTTTAATTGTATGTTAGTGACCGCGCCTTTCAAACATAACGACATTTTATTTGGAATTTGATTCATTCACCATTCAGTGCATTCAGCCACGATCAGGCGTGGTGGCGGGCTTTGGGCGGCACCGTTCCACTCCTGAACCGCATCACAAGGGGATCGGTTTCTTGGGGGTGGACTTGATGCGGGGCAAAAATCTGCGGGACGCAGGGACGGTCGGACTCGTGGTAGGCGATCTGGCAAGAAGTTGGATTCAATTTTTGCTATTGATAGAAATGTTTGGAAATAATTTGAAACACCACGGGTGCACAAAGTGTGAATTTCAGTGTTGTGATATGTTGTGATGTGTTTTTATTTTTTCTTATTTATGCAGCTTCTGTGCCAAGCAAGACCTGTTTGATTCTTCAAATAAAGTCACATACACCAATCATGAAAATTCGTATGCAATACCGCCCTTTCCCGCGGCCGTTTTAGTACCGACCAGTTCGGAACCCTTTAATCCTTGCTCTCCCGGCTGGGCTCCTTGGCTCCCAGAAAACAACAAAATCTGGGTATTCACGGCCAGACAGAGAAGCGAAATAAAGCAAATGTTGTGCACTTGTGGTGAGGTACCTCCCAATAAGTTGGGATCGTTTGAGCAACAACGAAACGGAAGATTGGACCACATGGAAAGACCCTCCAAGAACTTGACGGCTCATGGTTTACTGTTTACTCCTAAAGCACGACAAAATTTTACAAAACTCGGTCAGGTATCTGGGACCGGTGGGATCTCAATTCCTCCATGGCTGAGGCCTTGCGCGAGACATGCGGCAAATTGAAGTCACAGGCACGGCGTGCGGTGAGTGCTGGGTGGGGTAGGCGTTTGGAGTTGCCAATGTTTGCTAAGAGACTAAATGGAGTGGAACATGTAAAATGTCTGATGATCAGTTTCAATTTGGTTGCTTCAAGTACTGTATCTGGTTGGTGGTTTGGAACATTTTTCCCCACCTGCCAGGTGAGGGTTGCTAGATTTTAACAGACAGAGCTCTTCTCCTCCTCCGCCTCCTCACCCGCCGCCTCCTCCTCGCAGTCCAGATCCCAGTGGGCACAGCCGGACCTCCACCGCGAGCTCCAGATCCCAGTGGGCACTGCCGGACCTCAACCGCGAGTTGCAGATCGCAGTGGGCACTGCCGGACCTCAACCGCGACTTCCAGGTCGCAGTGGGCACTGCCGGACCTCAACCGCGAGCTCCAGATCCCAGTGGGCACTGCCGGACCTCAACCGCGAGCTCCAGATCCCAGTGGGCACTGCCGGACCTCAACCGCGACTTCTACGACTTCCAGATCGCAGTGGGCACTGCCGGACCTCAACCGCGACTTCCAGATCGCAGTGGGCACTGCCAGACCTCAACCGCGACTTCCAGATCGCAGTGGGCACTGCCGGACCTCAACGGGAAGAATGACAGAAAAGATGTCAGATAGAATGTCAGAAGATATGCCAGATAGAATGCCAGAAAGAATGTTAGAAAGAATGTCAGAAGATATGCCAGACAGAATGCCAGATAGAATGCCAGATAGAATGCCAGAAGATATGTCAGATAGAATGTCAGAAGATATGCCAGATAGAATGTTAGAAAGAATGTCAGAAGATATGCCAGATAGAATGTCAGATAGAATGCCAGAAGATATGCCAGATAGAATGCCAGAAGATTTGCCAGATAGAATGCCAGAAGGTATGCCAGAAGATATGCGAGAACATATGCCAGAAGATGTGCCAGATAGAATGCCAGAAGATATGTCTGTCAGATAGAATGCCTGAAGATTTGCCAATAAGAAAATGTATAAATGTCATGGTGGGGATCACACGAAGTAAAGTAATTTATTTTTCCATATGTTGGGAATAATAATCTCAACTGACTTTCATATTTTTCAGAGGGGTTGAAACCACCAACCAGATAATACTTTAATCTCTGGAGATAGGCAGCTCCGGATGATCTTGCTATGGTGGCACAGGACCTGATGGTACCAAAACCTTTGGACCGTTGGCAGCCTCAGCGATTCTGGCAAGCACCAGGCCCAAGGAAGCAGATTTTCTTGGTGTCGCGTACTGTATGCAATGTGTATATGTTATCAATGTATTGCTATGTGTGTTTATATTGGGCCTAATTAGATCCTATTAGGCTAAATACTTTTTGTTGGCCATCCATTTTTAGGCATAGCAACTCCCAGAAAGATAGAAATTGGAAATGAGGGGGAAAACATCACCGATATCATCCTGGAATGGTTTCTATTTTTTTCAGGTTTTTGTATGTTCCTGTATTGTTACTAGGTTTCTGCCCTAAATATCCCTGAATCCATATTTTTGACCACCCAGTCGCCGAGGGCAGCAGAAAGCACTGTCACCAGCTTAAGGGCCTCGAGGGTGGGCTGTTGGATCTCAGACACATTGCAGGTGTGTTGGCCTTAAAACATTCAGGACGTTTTATGTGCATCAACGTGCATTTGTTTTGTTGTGGGTGCCTTTAAGATCTTATAAGTACATATATATATATTATATATGTTTATACAATATATATAATTATATATATAGTTATATATATATATATTAATATATATATATTATCACTATATATGCCTATATAGCATATATGTATATAAAATTATAGAAACATATCTGTATGTGTGTGCATACATGTCCATGTTTGCTAAAATCCCCGAGCAGGTATTCCCAGTTCAACTTTTTGCTGCTTTGAACCATTGGGTTGCTTTATTTTTACACACTGCTCCTTAATGAGTCTACCACTTATTTTTGGGGTCATTATCGATGGCACAAAAGAATACAAAAGATTGATTGCGGGTACAAAGCTGGGATGTATTTGGCAGGCGCTCCATCAGGAAAGACGAGAGGATTCGAATGATTGCAATGCACCAACTGCGCGGCTAGAAATGACGGACAAGGTTTTGGGTTCTCACCTGGGGCCTGTATCCTATGCATATCCCATTCATATCCCATCTATATCCCATCATGCCCGCGGTTGGGCAACAAGGCCTTGGATGACAAGAAGGATTTCAAGCTGCAGCCTAAGCGAATTATCCTGGGACTGAAGTGACATAGATGGCATTGACATTTTTGGGTCACAACCGGGATCCTTCCCAGACGGTCGAGGCCAATGTTGCCACTGTCCACACGTGGTGTGTCCGGTCCTTGGCACTGGAATCACGGTGGAATGGTGCAAGTGGAGCTTCGTGAACTTAGTAGGAGGGCTGGCACTTCTTCTGCATCATAGTTCTAGCCTAGCTGGCTGGTCTACGGTTTGTCTCCATATTTGATCATATTTGGCTTTTTGGCTAGTAACACATGGTGACACTAGTGCTGAACACCTTTGCAACCTTCTGGGCGTTCTGCGGCTGGGACACTTGCCAGCGCACCTTTGGATCTGCATGACTAAAGTTCTGCGTGTTTTACCACTTCTGGGGATGGGCAGCATGGCACAAAGTATTCACAGAAGAATTGCGAACCTTTTAAAGAAGTCGAAGCAGGTGGCATCCAAAAATAACAAGGATGTTCAAGTTCACCCTGCAGCACTTCTGATTTGCGACCCGCAAAACCGACATCCCCATTAAACCATATTAAAATATATTTAACCTGTTTTGATTGATGGGATATGATGGGATCATGTCAAGGATGAATTTGTACTACCAGGCCTAGTCAGGCTGATGATAAATCAGAATAAATATCACCGCGAGAATCCCTAGCCCCTAGCAACCACTCAGTAGACGTCGTGCTTTGGAGATCCCAGACGCCATTCGCAGCTGTTGTATCTCGTAGGGCGTGGTGTGACATCGAAGACGACGAGGTGGGCTAGGAGGGGGATGAACGGATGAGGTTAGCTTGGTTGCATGTTGGCTCGTGGTTGCTCAGGCTTGTTCCAGGTTTGTTCCGTGGATTTCCCCCTGATTTCAAATGAGTTTGGTGACTGAACACTTGATAGTACACATTTTCCCTGGCTTATTGGGCTATCTCGGGTCGCGCAGAGTGCCTCAAACTCGATCAAGTTGACTGGCTTTACTTGATAAAAGCTGGGAACCGCAGCCACACAGGGACCACGAGTTGGGCCCTAAAAACTTGAAAGGGCTGCTTCTTGGTTCACTTAGATGGCTCGATAGGCTGACATATTTAGCTGTTCCAATAAAAGAAGACCATGATGATCCAACCTGACCAGCAGCCAGTCATATTCTTCCGTCTTGGCCCTGTCAATTCCTGCAGCACTTCAGCCATCAGAACGAGGTCTTCGACCAAGTCAGACCAGTCATGTGCTAGTCATTGACCATTCCCAAAAAGGGGGAAAAGCCAGGTTATGGCTTGCAAAACTACAAAACAACTCATGGCATTTTTCACTTAAACAGAAAATAAAACAAACACAGGGATTTTAGGAGGATTTTTTCTGTGCCCGTTGGTTCATGATGCATCATGGGTCCATGAATACATATCCATCAATGATGGAGATCATCTCCCAGCTTCGGCCGCAGCTGGCTCTTGACTTCACATGCGGCCTCAGCCATGCCTCCAAGGCCGGGCGAACAGGAACTGCAGGCCCCCGATGCGGCTGCTGAGTGGGGTTGTTTTTTGGAGACTCTGCCTGCAAAGTCCTACATTGCCAGACGATGTAGCAGGAGTTATCGATGACTGAGAACTCGAGCATCTGCAATTCAAGCTTATGCACAGTTCATGTGTCATACAATATATATATATATATTGATTGTAAGCTGCTTTGACTTTTGGGCAGTCAGGTGCATCTGAAGCTTCCCTTGCCAGGCGTTTCAGATCAGCAGCGCAGGGGTATCTTTGGCACAAGTCTTGGGGTCGCCTGGGGTCAAACTTTGGGGCTCAAGTGACATCAGCCTTTTTGCTTCACCATTTTTCACCTTTCTTGGGTAGAAACATCATGAAACATCTCAGCCCCCGGACTCAGTTGCGAAATCAGTGGGGTGGTTGCTGGTCTTGAGGGTTCCCGGCGCCAAGGCATACAGTTGTGGATGCATATGTATGTAAAGATTGTTTCTATTTTATTTTGTTGGGTCACTGTGCATTACTGCTCCACTGTATTGATCTGGTCATTGCCACTTATTTCCATGTCTCACACTTGATCCCTCTTTTTCTTTCTTTCTTCAAATAAGACTGCGATGGTTTCTTTAAAATCCTGCCTGTCCGCCTATTCTTGGAGAGTGCGAAGTATCCTGCAACATACTGTAACCTCATGGCCATTCCTCTGATGTGAAGAAGGCGCCTCCATGTAACCCAATTATTGGCTGATTCCCGACTGGTCCTACTAGGTTGGACCAGTTTTGGGGAGTTGGCGTGTTCATTTCATCAATTTCATTCTCCCACAGATTGATTCAGTATGATACCATGCAGCACCGCTCTCCGGGCTATATTCAGCGCTGGCGTCTGAGGCGGCCCAGCGCGAAGTCAACCTTTCACGGATCGCAAGCAGCACTGCCACCTTGGAGGTGCTATGGAAAAAAAAGCAAATATTGGCCAGTTGAAAATTCGTGGGGCGAAAAAGATCATGAAAACATTGGATCAACGGTTGACATTGGATCAACAATTAGTGGGGCGAAAATATTGGCCACTTGATCAAACAACTGAAATCGGAGGTAAGGGATTGGTTGTCAGTATCTGACCGTTTGTGCCTAAGGGGCGCCACTGAAGCCAAATGCGCAAAAAGATTGACAATCATGAGAGTTCCTGCACTGACCCCGCGCCCACAAAGGGTACATGGTAGGTTTCCACATAGGGACTGAAATATGAATGTTGCATATCAGATAGTCACGTTGATGCTTGTTCGAGATGGTGCCCCCAGCGGTCTGGTTATGTCCACAATATGTTCGCCAGGAACATTTCACCACACCTAATCCAATGAGTCAGTGGTAGCACCAGACCGAACTGTGTGTGTGTGAATCTTGGTTACATATAGTCATAATCATTCATATTTGGAAGTATTTTTGCATAATTATTCAAATATGCCATACTTATTTAGACATATTTATCAGGTCATTGATACATGGATATCAACATTAATACAAATGGCACAGACGTGAGGCTAGTGCCGCGGAGTGGCGAGAGGAATGTCAGCTGCTGCGGACGCAGATGCAGGCGCAGAATCGACGCGACTTGGATCTCTCAAGACATGGCAACCCTACAGAAAGATGTAGAAAACCTATTGGGAAACCTACGGAGAATGATCTATAAATTCCCAACAGCAGGGCCTGTTGGGTTTCAATCTCTAGGGCTGGGGCTGGCTCGCGGGGACTTGCAGCCTTCAAAATCCGGAATGGAACCCTGGAACCCTGGAACCCTGGAACCCTGGAACTTGGACCCTGAAACCTTGGAACCCCGGAACCCTGGAACCCTGGAACCCTGGAACCCTGAAACCTTGGAACCCCGGAACCCTGGAACCCTGGAACCCCGGAACCCTGGAACCCTGAACCCTGGAACCTTGGAACCCTGCGACCGTGGAACCCTGAAACCTTGGAACCTTGGCACCCTGGAACCCTCAAGGATTCTGGAACCCTGCAACCTTGGAACCCTGGAACCTTGGAACCCTGCAACCCTGCACACCTGGCACCCTGCTGGGATCCTGGAACCCTGAAACCCTGGAACCCTTGGAACCCTTGGAACCCTTGGAACCCTTGAACCCTGGAAACCTTGGAACCCTGAAACCGTGGGACCCTGGTACCCTGGAACCCTGGAACCCTGAAACCTTGGAACCCCGGAACCCTGGAACCCTGGAACCCTGGAACCCCGGAACCCTGGAACCCTGAAACCCTGGAACCTTGGAACCCTGCGACCGTGGAACCCTGAAACCTTGGAACCTTGGCACCCTGGAACCTTCAAGGATTCTGGAACCCTGCAACCTTGGAACCCTGGAACCTTGGAACCCTGCAACTCTGCACACCTGGCACCCTGCTGGGACCCTGAAACCCTGAACCCTTGGAACCCTTGGAACCCTGGAAAACCCTTGGAACCCTTGGAACCCTTGGAACCCTTGGAACCCTGGAAACCTTGGAACCCTGAAACCGTGGGACCCTGGTACCCTGGAACCCTGGAACCCTGGAACCCTGAAACCTTGGAACCCCGGAACCCTGGAACCCTGGAACCCCGGAACCCTGGAACCCTGAAACCCTGGAACCTTGGAACCCTGCGACCGTGGAACCCTGAAACCTTGGAACCTTGGCACCCAGGAACCGTCAAGGATTGTGGAACCCTGCTACGTTGGAACCCTGGAACCTTGGAACCCTGCAACCCTGCACACCTGGCACCCTGCTGGGATCCTGGAACCCTGGAACCCTTGGAACCCTGGAAACCTTGGAACCCTGAAACCGTGGGACCCTGGTACCCTGGAACCTTGGAACCCTTGAAACCCTAAAACTTCCAAACCCTAAACTCTATGCGCGCTGCGCGCGCTGCATGCAATAAATTAAACCCTAAAACTTCCAAACCCTAAACCCCAATGCGCGGTGCGCGCGCTGTGTCCCAGAGAAGTAAACCCTAAAATTTCCAAACCCTAAACCATCGTGTTATGCAACTTCCAAACCCTAAAGTTTAACCCGCGGTGTGCGCGCTGCATGCAATAAAATAAACCCTAAAACTTCCAAACCCTAAACCCTAATGCGTGCTGTGCGCGCTGCGTGCCAGAGATAAACCCTAAAACCTTCAAACCCTAAACACTAATGCGCGCTGCGCGCGCTTTGTGCAATAGAAATAAACCCTAAAATCTTCAAACCTGAAACTCTCGTGTCATAGAGGTAAACCCTAAAATTTCCAAACCCTAAACCCTAAACCCTAACACGCGCTGCGCGCGCTGTGTGCCATAGAAGTACCCCTTAAAATCTCCAAACCCTAAACCATCGTGTCATGGAGGTTAACCCTAAAACTTCGAAACCCTAAAGTTCAACCCACGCTGTGCACGCTGCATGCAATAAAATAAACTATAAAACTTCCAAACCCTAAACCCTAATGCGCGCTGCGCGCACTGCGTGCCACACACATAAACCCTAAAACTTTCAAACTTTAAACCGTAACGCGTACTGCGCGCACAGCCTGCCATAGAGGTAAACGGTTAAACTTTCAAACGCTGCGTGCCATAGAGGCAAAGCCTAAAACTTTCAAACGCTAAACCGTAAAGCAGGCTGCGCGCGCTGCGTGCCATAGAGTGCTCCTCAAAAGTGATTACATGTCATACTTTAGTGGCATCCTCCAAATTCATTAGTCAGCCTTTGTTAATCCAGGGCCCATTTTACACATGTCATCTTCTTGGTCGTGGCGCCATTTCAGGATCACACTGATGACCTAAGCTTTGGCCTTAACTATTATGCAGGCAAGCGACATCAGCACGCTATGGTATTGGAAGACACAGGGTTTGCCCGTAGACCAGCCAAAAAATCGATTTTCCACACTGAACAATTGGATTTAACACATTTAGAATAGGAGCTCCGCCTGATTCAGATTTCATCACTTAAAAGGTACCCATGCCTGACTAGCCTTCATGACTTAAAGCGTAACCACACCCGACTTAAGGGAACCATGCCTGACTAGCCTTCATAATTAAGAGGTACCCACCCACGCCTGACTTAACAGAACCCATGCCTGACTAGCCTTCATAATTAAAAGGTACCCATGCCCCTGAATTCAGGGAACCATGCCTGACTAGCCTTCACAATTAAAAGGTACCCACTGGAACCATGCCTGACTAGCCTTAATGACTTAAAAGGTAACTACACCTGACTTAATACCTGATTTACTGGTTTTGCCTGATTTTGGAAAAACGCAGGGCCGGAATTTGCAGGGCGCGGGCCGGAATTTGCCGGGCCCGGGCCGGAATTTGCCGGGCTGGGATTTTGGGGTCGTGCCTAAATAGGATTTTTGCAAAAATCGTGCATGACTGAAGGGAACCATGCCTGACTAAACATCATACCAATCATCCCAAAAGAATCCAATAATTCCAGCAAGTGATGCCTGACCAATCCCTGCGTCATAATAAACCGTCTGCCCCTCCCCACCCAATAATGAACACACGGAATAGTTTTTTTGTATTTAGTGGGTATTTAGTATGAGGGTGCGAAACTTCCCCCTTGGTTTAAAAAAACTAAATTGGAAAACATTTTTTAAATAACATCTAACTAAAATATTGCCAAAATTGGATTCCGAAGCTTCCCCCTGACATTAAATTGAAAACATTCGTTTAAAAAAATGAACTTTATATTTCAAAACCGATTGAATTCCTATTCAAAATCTAACTCAAATCTTGCCAAATTGGATTTCGAAGCTTCCCCTTATATTAAATTGAAAACCTTACTAATCCCCACCTCCTTTTACTAAACGTACCCTAAATACTAAAATATTACATTGATTCCTTTTACTAGGGTCCGCGTTAAATTTTGGGAAATTTCAGGCTGGCCAGTTTGACTTTTAATTGATACCTTTTCAAAAACAAATTAAACATGAAGGTCCCATTTCAGGATTTCACCACCAAAAAATAAAAACTAGTCAGCCCCGGTGATTTTTTAAACTAGGGTCTTTTAAGGTCGAAAAAATAAGTATTTTATATTACAACGTTTATATAATATTGGGGGAAAACTTCGAAATCCACTTTTTGGCATTTCCTGGCAATATTTTTGCTGGATGTCAAAAGGAAATCTAATCGATTCTTGAAATCGAAAAAACATAGTTTTTTTTTATTAGTGTTTTTAATTTAATCTTAGGGGAAAACTTCGAAATCCAATTTTTAGCAATATCTTAATTATATGTTAAACAGAAAACTAATCGATTTTGAAACATTTTTTTTTTTAAATATATTAGGGCTGGTAATTTAATATTAGAGGAAACATTTCGAAATCCGGTTTTTGTTTTTATTTTTGTTACTACAATTTAAAAGGAAATCGAATCGATTTCAAAAAAGAAAAAATAATATTTTATATTAGGGTTTTTTAATGTAATATTAGGGGAAAACTTCAAAATCCAATTTTTGACCATATTCTAATTAGATTTCAAAAGGAAATCTAATGAATTTTGATATAGAAAAAATAGTCTTTGATATGAGGGTTTAATATGAGGGGAAAGCTTCGAAATCCAATTTCTGGCAATATCTTAATTTGAATTTACAAGGAAATCTAATCGATTCTGAAATAGAACAAATTTAGTTTTTTATATTGGAATTTTTCATGCAAGATTAGGGGAAGCATCGAAATCCAATTTTTGAACATATTTTAATAATTGGATTTTAATTTGATATTAGGGGAAAGCTTCAAAATCAATTTTTTGTTTTTTTTCATTAGATTTCAAAAGGAAATCTAATCGATTTTGAAACAGGAAAAAAAACAAAATGATATTAGGGTTTAATATAAGGGAAAAGCTTCGACATCCAATTTTTTGGCCATATTTTATTTAATTTTTAAAAGGAAATCTAATCGATTTCGAAATAGAAAAACATACATAGTTTTTTATGTTGGGGGTTTTTATTTGATATTAAGCTTCGGAATCCACTTGTTTGCCATATTTTAATTGGATTTAAAAAGAAAGAAATCTGATCGATTTTGAAATAGAAATATGTGTATATATATATATATGTGTGTTTTTCATCAGTATTAGGGGGAAGCTTCGTACCCTAATACTAAAGACCCCCCCAATACTAAAAACTCCTCCAGGTGTTTGTTATTTGGGTGGGTGGGTGAAGGGGCGACTGTTTAGCAACAGGGGGAAGGGATTAAACCGTTTTTTGTTTCTAATTTCAAAATCCATGAAAATAATCTTTAAATAGAATACTGCCAAGAATAGGATTTCGAAGCTTTCGCCTAGTATCAAATAAAACACCAACACCTGAATTAAAAAAACTAACAATTGACGATTTTAAAGGACGGACCCCAATAAAAGACACCCCGGTGTTGACTAGTTTTTTATTCTTTGGGGGTGAAACCCTCACATGGTACCTTCATTTTTAAAATTGTTTCCTCAAGGGGATCAATTAAAAATCAGATTAACCAATTTGACATTTCCCAAAATTGGAAATCGCACCTAGTTTTTGTCATTTGGGGGTATTTTTCGTAATAGGGAGAAAGGATTAGCAAAAAGAATGCCTGATCAAAATGATGCTGATTCTGTGTGTTACAATCTTTTTGCCCACTACAGTGTCTACAGGGTTACAAGGGATGCCGTGCCAGCTAGAGTCCCAAGTCCATTCAACCAACACCCTAATCGATGAAGTTGGACTTGTTGAAATGGAAGTGGGACTGGACCAGTTGACATGGGGCGATGCTGACCTTCAACGGGAGCTTCGGCGCCTGAAGGACAACAGTTTGAAAATTCCGAACCTGAAATATATTTTCAAAATTGCCTTACTAAGAGTGATCCCCACCCTGACACACTATTCTGACATAGTTTCTGACATATCATCTGGACGTATATGTGGCATATATGTTCTGACATACTATCTTACATTCTTTTCTGAGATTCTATTTGACATTCTTTCTGGCATCCTATCTGGCATCTATTCTGACATACTTTCTGGAATATACTATATTCTGATCCTGCCTTGCCATGAGTTTGGGCTGGGAGTGCTTTTATTTGCGTGGATCAATGCCAATGGCTTGAATATCCACCAAATGTTGGTTTCACATGTTTGCACCCAATGATTGCCATTACCATTGATACCCCAAAATGGCCAGGTCCCGAATTTGAGAGTAGGTCCTGAAAAGTTTTCTGGGTACTGAAAAAACAGGACTTTGGCACAGGGTCTGAAAAAAGACGTAGGTGGAAGATTCAGGTATGCTGTTGGGTTGCAAAGCTGGGTTAATGCTGGGTTTTCCACATCTATGTTGGTTTACAGGAGGGCAACGTGGCCCATCATGAAACATCCCTGTTTCTTTCAGTAGATGGATTCTATTGATTTGGATGGACGTTTGGAGGTAGATGATTAGATGATTATTACTGCAATATGACTAAGTATGAGTCCTGTGATGCACCTCGATTACGGACCATATCATATCCACTGGGAACATTGCAATATTTCACTCACTCACTCGTCGCCCACATGTGCATTTTTTGGCGATGATTTCCCTGATTCGCTTAACCATCCAAGTGAGAAAAAAACACTACAGACATCTCGAAAATGACCCAGAGATATCCAGAGATCATATCTTCCCAAATCATCGTCCAATGCTCCAAACGCCGCGCATGATCTCCGAACGTTGAAACTACTTAGGAATCGGGTGGAAGCCCCCTCGGAAGTTCTTTCTTTTAGTGGGATATATTTGGCGAACATTGAGTTATATGCAGATTACCCTCTGGTAATTTAACGTAGCTATTGATAAAACAAATGATAGGTCTATCATCAATAGATGGCAATTTCCATGGCTATGTTAAATTACCACATGGTAGCCATTCAAAACTTCAGGAATCATCCCGAGTGACCATCCGAAGAACCGAGGCCAGCGAATGATAATGGTGCTAATGCTCCTGGGCTGCGTGCTGCTCATGATGATCCTTTATTTTTCGGAGGAGCAGAAGGTCAAAGAACTCCAAAAAGATGTGCCTGGACCCAGTTTTCAGCGGTGGTGCCCGGTGACCACCCGGTTACTCCCCAAAGACACATGATTTACTTTACATCTGAGAGTGATTGAGAGTGTCCGTGTTGTGTTCTTGTTTTACCATGTTTTTCCTATCCGGAGGATCATGAAGCTAATGTGTTTTCGTCCATTTTCGGGTGGGAGGCCTCAGTCACCAGTGATCCAGCTCCTGCCTGGTGCCAGGATGTGAAGCTTAAGGAGGAACTGGATGGTTTGAAGAAGAACATCGCCAATGGCACCCGCACCCTGGTGGACATCATATTGCTAAGCTGGGAAGTCCTTCAGATCAGCCAATATCCAGTCCTTCCAAGTCCTTCCCCAGTGGATGCCGAGCTTCTGTGTACCCACCATGCCAGTCGAGTCTAGCTAAAAGTCTTGCTCAGAACATGTCAGAACACAAACTCGGGGCGCTCTACCTGCGAAGGGGCGCCCATTCCGTTGAGGCATGCGCAGAAAAACAGAAGGACCATCCTCAACTTTGCCTCTTCTGACCTCCAGTAGGGCTGAAAGCAACACGTCGTCAATGGCAAGTTCCGATGTCCCCGAAACGCTCCTTGGATGCAGCTGCGTCTTTGATTCCCAAAAGGTATTCCCAACACTATCCATAGAGGATAGCTCAAGATGATAAACGATGCTATCCAGTACTGATCCTGATCTACGCGAAAGCCTGGCTCACAATCACTGGCCATGCATTCCGGGGCTGAGGGCTGCAGGCGTTGTATGAGTGGAAGCCTTACTGATCTGGTTGGTGGTTTCAAACATGTTTTATTTTCCATAATATATGGGATAATCCTTCCCAATGACTAATATTTTTCAAGATGGTTAAAACCACCAACCAGTGATTGTATTTTGGTTGTTTTTAGCTGCTGTCCCCTTCAGCCTTCAGCCTTCATGAGGTTCGGTTAGCTGCGCGGAGGTGCAGCTCACCAATCAGACATTGACGTTTCGCTCGTGGCGAAAGATGCTGCATCAGAAAACTGGGGCATGATGGGGCATGCCTGTTGGTGGTTCAATGGACGACGATGGATTGAAGTCTCCTACAGTATGTATATATACATGTGTGTGTGGTATATGCATGCATTGATACATGTGTTACAAGTTAATTACAACACACACACATATATATATTATATATATATGTTTTTTTATTACACATATACATGTCCATTGATATGATCTGACTGCATATATGAAAAGTAGTTGCTGAAAGCAGTAGTTGCTGGAGTGTCTGTACACCCTAGGCTACCCACAATGTTAAGCATCCTAGTTGGCCCAGCCATGAGAGGACAGCGGCTCCATCCATATAAACCACCATATTTGCTTGCGGCCCCATCATCTATCCAGGCCTGCTTTCCCTCCCCACTGATTGGTAACATTCATATAAATTACAGAATCATATCATTTCTATAAATAGGAACTCGCTTCTACACTCCCGAATGCTCCTGACCTATCACAACATATTGGACATATATCAAGACATATCACATAATTATTGGACATCTATATTGGACATATTGATGTTTTTTTTTCCGCAGATGTTCTGCGAAACTCCCAAGCACTTCGATCCCATCCGCGCCAGCTGCCCGAGCCAAAGACGGACACGACAGTGGAGTCCATCAAGGTGAAGTGTGACACCGCACTTCACAGACAGAGAGACATTATATATATAATATATATATAGGATCTGATACGTATGTCTGATGTATTTGGACACACACACATATATATATATAATATGTATTGTGTAATTATGCATGTATGTATATCTAGTTAGTTGTTATATTATAAATTTTCAAAAGAAGTTGTTTAACATGTTTAAATGTGTAGTATTTGTGTTTGTTGGCGTGAAGAGTGAGCAAGGACCCTACGACGATGTGGAAATCAGTGAGAGTTCTTGGGGGAAGGTGCCCAACAATGACATTTTTCTGGGTTGGTGAAATATTGTCTCTCAGCCAGATGTGTTACATAATGTATGAACGTTTGAATGCCCAGTACATGACCGACAGCCAAGAAAGAGAAATGCAACACCCAAGCAACCATCGCTGACCCAACAAGAGTGGCCAGACCATCCACCAAGAAAACATAACCAACCAGACCTGAACAACAACGTGCACATAAAGCATCATGAAGAACCGATGGGAAAAGGCAATCGCCAGTGGCTGCCAGTGGGTTCTCCTGTTCGCTCAAATTGCCAGGTGGATCAATCTCCTTCCAAGAGCAAACGGAAGCCTCGCAAAGTGAAAGAACGTCCTGTGGTTGGCTTAGCGACCCACGCTGGGAAGATATCAGGGGGCTGACTCGCTGGGAACACCTCTGGCGACATCTCGTGACATTGGGGAGTCAGGGGGTCTTCCATCACTTGGTTGAAGGGTAAAATACGGTGAACTTGCAGGAAACCATTGTGTTTAGCATCATTTACGGGGGTTGTACAGTGGTTTTACAGGGGGTTCCTTCCACTTTTTCCCTCCCATTCTTCGATTCCAAGCTTCGCTGCTGGATCGGCTCCATTCCGCCCTTGGTCTCAGCATGGCTCAGCCATCATGGAGCAGGAGCGGCTGATGGAAGCTCGCTTGAAGTGGTGCACTGATACCCTAGTTCCGTACCTATCATACCCCAAAGTACGATCTTGGATTTTCTGAAGGTCACAGAATGTCATTTTGAATTTGCCATTTGCTTCTATAATCCACCATTGGACATGTCCGAAAAAATGTTGTTTTCTCTTTGGGTGGGCTCCTTCTGGAAAGTCCGAGCCATCTGGCAGCCATCTAAGGAAGAGGGCCGGAGCGATGAACAGCCGCACATCGAGGAGCTGAAGCAGAGCATGGACCGGTGGAAGATGTTAGCCAGAAATACCCTCTGGTTATTTAACATAGCCATGGAAAATTGCCCATTATGGTTTACCTATTAAAAATGGTGATTTTCCATGGCTATGTTAAATAACCAGATGGTAAGCCTAGATTTGCACCTGCCTGGTGGTTTCAAATAGTTTTGTTTATCCATCCTACTTACTGTGAATGGAAGAAAACATGCACCGTAGATGGTTGATCCCCTTGTAATCCCAAAGCTTGTCGTGCTTCATAGTTACCAATAGTTACTTACCAACTGCTGCAGGATTTGGTGCATCCCCAGGATGATGATCCCAATTGACGAACATATCTTTTCCAGATGGGTTGAAACCACAAGAGACAGGCATTGAATTTCTGAAGATTATTAATATGTTCCCATTGGTTAATCGGCCAATTGGCCAATCTACTGGTATTGGGAATTAAGCAAGGCCCCTTAGCCCCTCAAGTTGACAAGTGGTTTGTACTCTTCCATCCTACCCGCTCTGACCAGCGTAGTCAGGACATTGAGATGTTGAGAGAATTTCATATGATGTGGAATGAAATGAACGAAGCAGCCATTTTGGCGAGCAAAACCCAGGTACCCAGTTTCGGAAATGTTGTGCCTATTTTCCAGGTCTCCTTTGATGAAACTCAGGCGGTCAGGGTCCCATGTTGTGTCTCCGCTGATGCAATTGGTACATGCAGATATACTGCTGAGTTTGCTAAAAGAGTCTGTAGATATTTCCATGATTTGGAGTGGGATTTTTCACAGCCGAATGTGTCATGTCTTGAAGTTTACATTGATTTTACTTTGTGGACTGGGACGATTGCGCCTTGTCTCATGGACAAGCAATCACACACTTACAAATTACCTGACATGTGCACTTTAGCTGATCTCAAAAACGCTTCCCTTAGAGATCAAAGCAGGGTGTGCTCCAAAACTCTTGCATGGCTACGTAACAATTGTGACACCGCCCCAGCTGCTCCAACAAGAGGTTGCGTATCATTGGTAAAGCTGGGGTATTCCCAACAACATTATGGATTGAGAGGCATGCCACGGTTTCGATGTGGTAAGCGTGTGCAGACTCTTTGGGAGTATTTCCATCCGGAGCAACGTTCCACCAACTCCAGGAGTGGAAACCTCAATCGTAAATATAAGGTCACAACACCTTCCCTGGGTGGCGCATAGGTAATTAAATGGGGTCACTCTTTTCCAACAGGAGTTTTTGCCTCGCATCCGTGCATCCGCATGCATCATCATCTAATTTAGTCAATTTAGTCCGGTAGTCACTGCTGGCGAGTCACGTTCTGCATGGTTCACAGTTAGGACGCTTTAAGCCGCCTAACTCTGAGGCCTAACATAGGCACGCGAGTCCGAAGGTCCAAAAAAAAAAGTTCCATCCTACCCGCGATGATGATGCCCACTGGCCAAGTGGTTTGAACATGTTTGAATATGTTTGAAGCACCAGCCAGATCAGTTAGAAACCTTGAAGATTGGTTCATGGTCCACAGGGAAATGATTGTCCAGGGCATCAGTCATCATTTCACAGCATGCCAGACAGGGAAATTTCCTGACCTCAGGGATGCCCTGGGGGAGGACCAAAAGACTTGGTGTGATCGCTGCATCGTTTGCCTGGGCCCTCGTTATGTCATTCATTTGACCGACTTTGAGAGAGATGCTGCGCCCTGGTCGCATGGAGAAAAGCGGGGGGGAAGTTTGGAAAATCACCCGAAGATGGAGGATTTCGACATCCGTTTGCGTGAACATCACTGACGACTTTCAATTCTGTTGATGAAGCCTTGGATGGGTCGACTCAATGGAAACACAGGTGTTCATTCCAGGTGCAGGCGTTGTGACACCGGACGTGCGGCTAGTGTTGTTGATGTAGCACTGCGGCCCCATATTGCCCAGATGATCTTTGCAATCCCACCTTCTCCTAAGATGGTGTCACAGATCATGCGGGATTTCATGCAGATGTTACCGGACATCTAGGTTTCAGAGCGTTCGCATTGCCGCATGGGCCAGCCTGCTCAGGTGTGGCACATGCGACGGCATGCCAGGATGCCTAGCCTTTTTTTGGGCTCCAAATGGAGTGATGTTTTGGTGGTAGGTCAAAGGATCGGCCAAAAAGACTTCTTCGAATTGTCCGGAATCAATCACCAAAGATAGCATATGACAGCAGTGGAACGCGATGATCGCTGCATTCTATGTCTCCAAGTATCTCCAAGTGCTTCAGACACTGTTTATTTTGCAGCACTGTTCTATGTTGAGGTTGTCAACAATCCAAAGCCAGATGATGCAGACCTCCAGAAACAGGCCTGGAAGGACAAACCTCTGGGGGATTTGATGGCCATTGGCACGCACAAACCGCGCAGGTGCTGCTACTTTGGAACACCGCCTTTCCAGATCAAAAGCTGGAGATGTTCGAGAAGGGACAAAGTAGCTGGGCCTTCAGGGAGCCGTGAGTGCCGTGACGTGACCCTGGGTCACCTGATGGAAATTACATGAAATTCCAACCCTCCATTCCTCTTATGACACTATGATGTCATTGGAGCTGCTGGAAATCAGGGTATTCCAAGGTGTTCCCGGTCATGTTTGGGATGTCTCCGCCTTGTCTTCACCACTTTGGGGCTCCTGACGTCAGGGGCATCGTCTCATTGGGAAATGGGATGAAATGGGAGTAGTGTCTTGTGCCAAGTGGGAGTGCGCCACGCTCTCGGTAGACAATGTGCATTAGTGGAAACTTCAAACATATCCCCAAATCATTTCCACAGCAAGTTTCCGATGTCTTGAAATGAAGTGAACTGGGCAATTGATGGACCCCTGGGGCCCCTTGCCATTGAGCTTAATCAAGTGTTGTGGGAGGCAGTAATCGTAACTCTCAAAAAGATGCAGGAAATGGATGAAAATGGATGAACATGGTTCAAACAGATGCAAGATTTTCCGAAATTGCGCATCTTTCTGGTGGCGTCAGCAGTGGTGGCGTCAACAGCAAAGATTGTTTGGATTGGGGTGCGTAACTGCTCAAAAATAGCCTAGCATTTCAGGGTGATGAATTTCAGTCTTTATCCGACTATCCCAATATTCCAATGACATATCCCAAGATAAACAGGGGTTTGCCATGTGATTTGAATGGGTTGCTACGAAAATTCCTTGGCTCAGGATGGAAGAAGCTGGGCTTCCAGGGAACGGATCCTAGCACGGATGTGAGAACTGGAAGCTGGCCCTTGGAGCAGCTGGTGCCTTGGTTGCAAATATCCACCGGCCGGCTCCATTTGTAGAATCTATCTATGTGATAGCACCCAAGAAAAGACATTCAACATAAATGTATATAAATGTAAATTTATATATAATTAGAATAGTATAATGATAGCAACATATGGCACACACACACATATATATATGATAACAATATTTTCCTAAATATACATATATTTATTATAAATATATGTAATATACAGCTGGACCCATCTTTCAAGATCTTTGAGCCCTGTAGAAGTGCCATCCAAGGTCGCCCTGGCGACCCACCATCCGATCGCGCCTTGTTTGAGTAGTGGTGTGTACCAACGCCAGGTGCCATTGACATAGCATAAGTGTCTTTGATTGTATGCACATATATACACATTTTTATTTGCATGCATTTGCGTCCAAACTTCATGTATATATGTACATATGTCGAATAAGAATGTCTAATTATTATATAGATTTGAGCCCCCCTCAATATTCAAATTAAGAGTGGTCAATCTCATGCCACCACCCATGGCTGGCGGCCACTGAAAGGAATTCCGACGCATGGTGAGAACCTCAATTCGCGCCGCACTGTGTCCACATGTGTCTACTTTGGTGCGTTCGAGCACCGGATGAGCAGAACAAATCCCTGCCGAGGCTGATGTTAGAAAGATTGCCAACGCCATCCAATACCAAGTTCTGATTGTTAGCGGTTGAAGGGCTAATTCGTATCACAGCGTATCACGGCATTTTGTGAATGTTTGTGGTCCGTTTGAGGTTCAGGAGGCTTCAGATCCTTCTTCATTCTATTTATTTGCGTCTCATGGCAGCGATGTTGGCCCATAATTGCATCGGAAACGCCCAACTAGAACGTTTGTCAACGACGGACTAGTAAACCCTGACTATTCTTTCGGGGGCGTTACCCTCAAAGAGGTATCAATAGGTTATGAATAAAGTGTGTACATACCATAACCATCCATAACCCCCTCTTCAAACATTATCATGCATGGTGGGTTATTACTCCTGGGTACTCCTGGATTGACATTAAAAACAAGCCGTTTTTTTTCTTTTTATTTTATGAGATGAATTGAGATGTCGATCTGCTCAGGATCTCGTGCTTCAACGTTTCGCATATGTTGGCGTGAGCCCCTACTGAGTTGTGTCAGCCATGGGGGGCTGAGAATGTCTATAAAATGATCAGAGTAGTTTGGCTGCTTGTCCAGTTGATGGATAGTGTAAATACGATTATATAAATAACTTGTGCGTGATTCAATTCATTGCTTGATGGACAAGATCCGAAAGCACATTCATATTCATCCATATTCCATAGGGCATACGATCTCCATCTATCTTAATTGCCGCTCACTGCTCAGCATTCCTCAACTTTTCTGCGAAGCTGCGCTGTGTTTGGGACAGTGAGGTTCTTTTCTTTGACCTTCACACCTTCGCGTCTGTTTCCCCAATAGGCGCCTAAGGGGATGGAACATGATGGAACTTGTGCCAGGACATGGCCTGACCGGGCTTACACAGCGCATAATTGGTGTCTTGTACATGTCAGCGAGAAAGACATGTGTATTGTTGTATGTATGTATATATATATATAGAGCACGTAGTTCTACGTAATGATGGTCAGTGAAGAGATATGTTGGGATGCCATCCCCAATTCACCTCTCGTTGTCCCAATTTCTTTTGGCTGTAAAACGGGTTGTACAGCCATTTTTTCTGGTCATATTCCACTTAATCTGGGCAGTTTGATCACTACAGATCCCTGTGCGCAGGTAAGGTGGCGCGTGCCAGCAAGCGTCAACTCCGCAATCTGGCACGGCTGGTGGTGCGAGAGTGTCAGGCCAATGATGTACCATGGCAGAGACCTTTGGTTCCAGTTCAGCCCGGGATAAGAACTGGTTGGAGACCTGCTGACATGATGCTACATATGCTACTACCTCTTACAGCACAGTCTCAAAGACAACTTGATACAACTTGTGAAAGTTGTTTGATCATTTTGATTCCAGCTACCAGCCATATCCAGCTATTGGTGGATGATTCATCGAACTTGTGCGATCTGAGGTAGATGTTTCAGCCAACATTTGCAAACTGGTGCTCAACGAGGCGGCCCGGCTTCGCCCATCACTCTTGCTGCAAGACTGCTACCGCGTGGCTGTGGCAGGTCTTTATGGAGCTGTTAGGAGTGGTTCACAGAGATTGGATGCTACTGAGCCAAGCAGGTGCAGGGTGATGCTTGATCGCCAGATGCTGATTGAAAATCAAACACGATCAGAATGCTTTCTTGCCCCTACCCAAAATGGAAAAACAGAGGCAGATACCACAAAAGCATACAAAAGCACCGTTCCGAAATGTGAAAATAGCCACTCTCAACTTGGATGGTGGCCTGAATCATTTATCTGGCCGCCAGAAAGTGATACATTTGATGACACAAAACAAAATTGACATCCTGGCCCTGCAGGAGACACGGATCAACACAGATTCAATGGAAAACCATGAGGGCTTTACTTTTTATTTCTCCACCAGTGTAGCGTATGAAGATCGGATCGAAACAGAAAAGACAAGACAAGAGCAAAATAATGCAGAGACCAAAACAACGACGCTCCTTGAGTTATTCAATCTCGATGCAGAAAACATGGGGTCGCAATTGTCTATAGCCCAAAAATGCGCCAATGTAAACATAACATTAGGCAAATCTACGGGCGCCTCCTAGTCGCCACTTTCACTACTTGTCCAGTCAAGACTAACATTGTAGCTGTGTATGCACCACACGCAGGAAGGAGTGTCAAGGACAAAGACATTTTCTACCGGGACATCCAAACAGCCGTGAGCACACAATATACCAAAACATGAAATTAATATAGTTCTAGATGATTTCAATGCAAGGCTTCTGGAAAGACTTCCGCATGAACAAGACATAATTGGAATGCATATGTTTAGGAAAGACACGAGCTGCATTGATCAGCTGAGCGAAAACAAATTGATAACCGCAGTAGGTTCACTACTTTCTGTCAAGAAAATGGTTTCGTCGTTTGCAATACTTGGTATCAGAAGAGTTTGCCTAAGCTTGTAAAATACAGAAACGTCGCGGCCCCCAATTTCCAAGGTCCACACACGACAGACCGATATGCGCAGCTAGATTATGTTCTTATATATCAACGGTGGAAAAATTGCATCCAAACCGTAGAAACAAATGACCAACACCAGTCAGTACCGACCACAAACTCCTTGTTGCCGAAGCAAAGGTGAATGTGTGTTCACATCCAAAGTTCCGCCAACCGTCAGAATTACAAATTCAAGAGTTTAATAAAGTGGTTACAGAAAGGTGCATACGCAAAACTTTCCACTTTCCCAGGACCCTTTCGCCGAGTGGGCCAATATACTCATAGATGCCGCCTTGACTCGTTTTACACCAATCCCACCTCAACAGAGAAAACCATAATTACATGTCCGATACGGCATGGGAGCTACTTTGTACGGACCAAACAACGACAGAATGAACAAGGTCTCCTACAAGAGGCTAGGGAGACGGAGTCAAAACTCCGGAAACAAATCCGTAAAGATAAAAGGCAGTACATACAAGCACAGCTTGAGGAAATGGATGAACACGGATACAGATGGTCAGGAATCAAGCTTTTGAAGAAGAAATTTGTGCCATTACACACAAAATTTAGGGACAGCAAAGGGCATTTTGTTTCTGAGGCAATGTTTCTCGAAAAGGCAGCCGTATATTTAGCCACAGTACAGTGGAAGTAACCGGAACCCATTGACGAACCTGACCCCCAACCTCTTTCCAACACGGGACAAGCAATAAAGGCCTCGCAATTTGAGGCCCAGGAACTTGACGAAGCTATTTCTGCGACGAAGACAAATAAGGCTCCAGGACCAGACCGAGTGCAAGCCGAACTTGTCGAATACCTAGACAGCTCAAACCGGGCAATTCTCCTGCAATCCTACAATGAGATATACTTATTAACAACAAATATTTTGATTCCCTTAACCTTGCGAACATTGCTTCCATTTTTAAGACAGGAGATCCCTCTAAACTTGAAAATTATAGACCCATTGCTTTGTTGCAGACCTTTTGCAAATTGCTGGCTGCTATGATCAAACGGAGACTTGTCGTGGTTTTGGAACCTTGGATGCATAAAACACAGTACGGCTTTAGGCCACGCAAATCAACATCCCAGGCTATATTTTTGACTCGTAGATTAATGGATTTCAATGAACGGCAAGGCACGAACATATCTTCAGTTCCATTAGACTGGGAGAAAGCCTTCGACAAGATTGATCAGGAAAAACTCATACAGGTTCTACAGCGGCTCTCTGTTCCACAAAATATAATTCAAGTTTTTCAAAATATATTCAGAGAAGCTAAATTTAGAGTAACGAAGGGAGAATTTTTTTCAAGCTTCAGAACGCAAGATTCAGGGATTCGACAGGGTTGTCCTTTATCACCCTACCTGTTCAGTATCATAATGACTGCAATTTTCCAAGACATTCGGTCCACACTAAACACTCCGAAACAACAAGAACCAATCAAAGGTATCCAATTTGCTGAAGTGCTTTATGCTGATGATACTTTACTCTTCGGCACCCATACGCACACCATCAATAAACTCTTGAACGCTGTCCAACAGGAATCAGGGAAACACAACATGAAATTGAACATGGGCAAATGTGTTAACCTGACTATAAACCGTCACCAATCATCGATTAAGTTTCTGGAAGGAACACCGGTCCCAAGGAAATCCCACGCAAGTTATCTTGGAGCCACCTTGACAGATTCAGTTGACAATGACAAGGAAATAAATCCAGAGACTCGGTGCAGTCAATGCCACGGCTTTACAACTACAACCTTTCTGGTCACAAACTCGTACAACAGTAAAGTGGAGACTACGGGTGTTTGAGGCTGCTTTGGGCACTAAGCTCCTTTATGGGTTGGAAACGATACAGCTTACAAGATCTGAATAGAATACATTAGATGCTTTTAAGCTGAAGATGCTACGACGAATTCTAAGGGTACCAAGCACTTACATTGACAGAGAATGGACCAATCAACGTGTAATCGACACACTTACTCAACGTTTTGGATACAAACATGTTAGTTTATCAACCAGATGGAAGCAGAATAAAATCCGTTTGCTTGGACACATCTTTCGCTCATCCCCGCAAGACCCCATGAGAGAAGTCCTCTTTGAAAGAAGGTTACCCCCTTTCCACACACGCAAGAACACATAAATGTTGCAACTGACCGAATCCCTCACCGAACATGTCACCGAATAGGGTTGCAAAACCCTTTGACTTCATATCGGTAATGGAAACTCTGTTTGGTCGCTGGCGCTGGCAATCTACTTTAAGGTCTTTTGTCGATATCAGGCATCCAATATGTCTGTTTCGAAACCTAATTTTAGTCTCTGTGATGACCTTCACAGAGCCTTAGGCTCAATTTCTTCCCTCTTTTGATATGGGCGCAAGCCGTTTTAGCTGGGCAACGCTCAGCTCGAACCCGAGCAGCGTGTGGAATGAATGACTGAATGAATGGGTAGGGAGGCGCTGGTGTTTTTTTGGGGGCCTTCTGAAGCTGCTCAGCAGATTTCAATGTTTTTTTACTTTGATGTCTTCAGCCAGGTGCAAAGACTAGCCTCATTGATTTTCCCAAGGCTCTTCGTGCTTTGGCCGCACTGGGTTTCGTGCCGCCACTGGATCCACTTTCCAACCGTGGTGCAGAACGCCCAAGGCAAAGGCTATGACGTGAACTCATCCTTCTGGGAAAGGCGGGGAGCACGGGCTGATGGCGGGTCAGGCTAACTAGGATCTTACCATTCTTGTCACATGAATTGCTGAGCACGATTCTTGCTTGGTTGGTGCTTTGAACCATTTTCCATGGGGTAACTCAGCCACCAGTTGTTGAGTCCCATTTTGGCACCTGATTTCCCCCAAAAAGTGGGTGAGTTTGGGTTCAGCAAGATGGCAATCAGAAAATCCTATTGATGTGTATGATACATATGATATGATATGATATTGTATGTAGAGAGGCGCAGAGGGAGAGAGAGAGAGAGAGAGGAAGAGGGACGGAGTTGCAGATCGTGTATCTATCGTATCATATATATATATATACAAACATATGTATATACAATTATATATATATATATACACATGTATCTATATATATATATAAATGCCTGTTTTTCAATAGTTGTTCCATTCAACACGGGCCTTTTCGATAGCCATCTTTGTCAAACCAGAGTTGCGTGATCCCTGGCAGGCCTTGTGACTCCTTGGGAGACCTGAAGATGAGCTGAGACGTGGAACCTGAGATGACCATTGACCCATGGCCCCTAATAAACAACAATCAAACCGGGGTTATCAATTCAGTGTTGACATTGGGTTGTGGCTGCTGGGAGGCAGCTGAAGCGCATCATGGCAGGAGTAGCGGCAAGGCTAAAGGCCATAGGAATCACAGACGTCGTTAGCTGGAACTATCCAGTCTATCCCATTCAATTGGATACTCATTGGGTTTCCTGTCATGTTCTTGAACAGTTTCTTGTGCAGGAAGGGCTGTGAACCTTCGAACCTTCAAGCACAGCATTCCAGTGCGCAACGGACCAATCATTCAGTGTAGAAAAGTGCTGCCCCAAAAGGAATGAAATGCCGACAGCGTTCACGTCCACTTGTGAACCTTGTGACACATCACAGCGGCTGGAATGCACGCGTGAAACTGAAGAGGAGGCAAAGGTGTCCACCTCAGAGTCTAGAATGTGCTGCGAAAAAGGGCGCTCTGGAGGGGGTAACAAGTCTCAACATAGGCGGATGACTCAAGTTATACTATTTTGCTAAGGAACATTACGGTAAATCATGGGAATTTGATGGAATTTGGGGTTCCAAGTTTTGAGAACAGCCTATATGTTTGGATGGGTCCCTAGTTCACTGCAGAGTATTTGGCTGTAAGGAATGTGATGGGACGGGAGCTGTAGACAACATGCTGCAATGGTTACAGCTGGTTGCAGACCTATTGTTGCGTTGCTGCTTGCCATACTTTCGAAAATGCAATATCAAAAAAATCAATCACCATAAATCACCATAGAGCACCATTATTCATCACCATAAATCACCCTTATTCATTACCAATCACCATTAACGTTTTAGGACGCCGCATTTTCGCACGGCTCACGCTGGTTCCATCTGGTTCCCCAAGGTGGACGTGTCGTCTCCGAATCATCAGCTCGAAGCCCCAGCTGTGCAGGTGGTCATCTTTTTGGGTGTGCAACCAATAGAAAAGCTATAGACAATGGATCAATATATTATCAATATCATTCAATATCTCAATATATTTGGATAAATTTGATCATGACCTAAGTCTGTTCTCCGTGCATGGAATCCTGGTTGGTAGGGGTATTGATGTTATAATTTGTCCAGATATTATATGGAATTATTATGAATTATTGGACTTGGGTTGGTATGGTTCCAGTGAATATTCCAGTTTGATCCAAGATTTTAAATCATAACTTCTTGCAGGCCTGCTGGAGCTTCCGTGCAGGCCATGTTCCTGTCCAATTTGGGAGAGGGCACTGCAGAAATATGTGGAGAGGGTGAGCAAATTGGCATTATATATATATATATATTATATATATATATACATACAGTATTTATACATATTTTTGCAGATGCATATGATTGCACATTTATATTGATGCACATGAATATGTATCATCATACGCATTTATAAATTATGTTTACCGTTAGATTAATTAATTCATTATATACCGAATATATATAATATTTATTTACACATGCACAGTGGCCATGCAACAGGTGACATTGGGAGATTTGGGTCTACACTGCACGGCTTGGAACCAGGCGGGTTGCGAATGGCGCATTGTGGGTTGCCAGTGAAGGGACTAGGGCGGCTTTGATATGATATAGATAGCGCCTAAGTCTAAAGTTGAACGAAGCTATAGTTCTGATACAGGCAAATAGTTGTGTCATTTTTTGGCTCATCTTATCTGCTTTCTGTCTACACATAGGTATATTCCTGCATTTTTGCTTTACAATATGGCTCCATAGTCATGACTCTTCAATCAGGACGAGAAACTTTGCAGCACCTACAAGTATGTAAGTGCGACTCTCCCATATTTTGCGGCACGCATACCTTTGCATCACTATTCCAAGATAAGAACAAGTAAACCAGTCCTCCTGCGCTACCCAAAGCATCTGAACCAATTGGGCAAATCAAGCGTCACATGCATCTTAATTGATAGGTTGGCATGTGATGAGATGTGTGCCACTTGACTGGGCAGACCTTCGCTGGGCAGTTTCTAAGGACGCTCTTATTTTTGGCCGGTGACTTTTCGGCGCAATATCCCTAATAATTGTTGGCTGGCTATATCCCTACCAAATCCAGCTAAATTCCCAATCTTTGCATAAGGTGGTGCCGCGGTTGGTTCATAAACTATCATAAACTCCATAAACCCTTGATAAACTCATAAACAACTTTAGCTAAGAAACTAGGGGATGTCAAAGAGGGTAAGCCGTCGGTGGCTCTGGTCACTTCCCTGGTACCGCAGGCCACATCTCCGACCTCACCGACCTCGCCCCAAGGGGCTTGGGCTCAGAAGGCAACAACTGGGTTTTTTCCCCACAACTTTGTGTGGGGTTCTTGTTTTTGATTCTGTATCCCGGGCTCCTTCTCCGGCACGCCTTCTCCTCCCGCTGCCTCCCTCACACATACAACACACATACAACACACATACAACACACATACAACAATAATTTCACACACACAAACTTAACATACAATAGCTGACATACCATACAATCACTAACATACAAATAACACACACAAACTTAACATACAATAACTAACATACAATAACTTCACACACACAAACTTAACAGACAATAATTTCACACTAACTTCACACACACACAAACTTAACATACAATAACTAACATACAATAACTTCACACACACAAACTTAACAGACAATAATTTCACACTAACTTCACACACACAAACAAACTTAACATACAATAATCTCACATACAATAACAACACAACACACACACAACAACACACACACACACAACAACACACACACAACAACACACACACACACAACAACAACAACACACACACACACAACAACACACACACACACACAACAACACACACACAACAACACACACACACACACAACAACACACACACACACAACAACACACACACACACAACAACACACACACACTGTGGGGTAATGGCCAGTAAAAAGTGTGAATGATGTCATAGTCTTCGCCTGATTTCCTGAGTTGCCTGGCAGTAGAATTTCAGCGGACACAGATTCACGATCGAAGAAACAACGCACAGCTCATAAACAAGAACAGAAAGTCAACAGTTGAAACTATAGCAGGTACGTAGATCAGGCGTCCCTGATCTATATCCTTACCACATGTCACCCAGCTTCGTTGGCAGAGAAAGTGACATGGGTATCTCTGCCCCCTGCTTTTTTTTGAATAGTACAAGATCGATGACAAGAACTAAAACCGTTTGTTATAACGGTGTACACACACACATTAGCCCCGAAATGGGGCAAAACCGCAAACCACCGAGTTTTTACCTAAGAAAACTGACCTAAAGAGCCTGCCTAAGAGAATGAATACCTGGCCTAAAAGAACCTGATGACGATGACGAGTGATGTGAAAAGCAAAAAGTTAAACCGTGTTCTATAAATCGTAAATCCTAACATTAAAGAAAAAGCGTATGCACAAGCTGCACGTTTGAGTTCAAAATAAAAACGATGCACAAGACTGTACGATAAAGCCTTTCAGCCAAGACCTCATTTGTAATTCCATCTCATCGTCAAGAACAAATAATCGCACAGGTACATTGGCAAGTGGAAATTCTGAGTTCCGGAACTGCAGAATGAGCTTGAGTTGTTGCTGAGCTCTTGACCGAAGAGGTTCCGACAAGTTTCGGCTCAATCTGCAAAACAAATTTCCTGCTTTATCAAAACATGATTGATTCATCAAAACTAAACCGTTTGCTATATAGTAACCTAAGGAGCCTGCCTAAGAGAGTGAATACATGGCCTAAAAGAACCTGATGACGATGATGAGTGATGTGAGAAATAAAACACTGAACCATGTTCTAGGCCTAGTAAATCTGACCTAAGGAGCCTGCCTAAGAGAATGAATACATGGCCTCAAAAGAACCTGATGACGATGACGAGTGATGTGAGAAACAAAACGTTGAACCATGTGCTATACCTGGTAAAACAAACCTAAGGAGCCTGCCTAAGAGAATGAATACATGGCCTAAAAAGAACCTGATGACGATGACGAGTGAGGTGAAAATGCTACTGAGACTCCGACCAGACCAAAAAGCACTTGTATTGCACCCGTGGTGCTGGGAACTTCGACTTATGTCTGCTTTGTCCGAACTGGACGAAACTTCTGCCTTATGGCTTCTTCGCCTTATGGCTGCTTCGATTGGATTTTACAGTGTAAAATCTTGACTCCGTCATATGACGCTTGAAATGCACTCGAAGTGCATACGGCTTCGGAGATTCATACTCCACTCGGAATACGGGAAAATGCCCGCTCATGACTTTTTGATTGGTCGAAACCAACCGACGGTGCGACCAAGTTAGGTCAAACACCCAGGACACACTGTGGGGTAATGGCCAGTAAAAAGTGTGAATGATGTCATAGTCTTCGCCTGATTTCCTGAGTTGCCCGGCAGTAGAATTTCAGCGGACACAGATTCACGATCGAAGAAACAACGCACAGCTCATAAACAAGAACAGAAAGTCAACAGTTGAAACTATAGCAGGTACGTAGATCAGGCGTCCCTGATCTATATCCTTACCACATGTCACCCAGCTTCGTTGGCAGAGAAAGTGACATGGGTATCTCTGCCCCCTGCTTTTTTTGAATAGTACAAGATCGATGACAAGAACTAAAACCGTTTGTTATAACGGTGTACACACACACAACAACACACACACACACTGTGGGATATATAGATTCGATCGTAGTGAGGTGAAGAGCACCACCAATTCCTGAATAGAGGGCCTGAAACGGATCCTGAGACATGAGGCATGAATTATGAAATGTGAAAAATGAATTCCGATTCTCAACTTAGCCGGATGCTATATCAAAGTTACTTAGTTTCCGGTTCTCAGCTTAGCCGGTTGCTATCCTCTGATGCAGGTACGCTGGGTTGATCAGACCCAGTATCCCATGATTGTGGTAGCTTCGTTGAGTGCGGTCCCACAATCATGCCGCACTCCCCTGCCAAATCAATATTTAGACTGCATGTTATTAGCAGTGTGCACACACACATGGCCTCTCAATATGAGAGGCAGATCAGTAAATGGGGCAAAACCGCAAACTGCCTATAGTTTTTACCTAAGAAAACTGACCTAAAGAGCCTGCCTAAGAGAATGAATACCTGGCCTAAAAGAACCTGATGACGATGACGAGTGATGTGAAAAGCAAAAAATTACTTTCAACGCAACAAGGGCAGGGTTGCAACAACAGAATTTTCCAACTGAATCGGCCAGTT